GAAGATTGTTCAGAAGGTAAGCAAAGCAGCTACAATGCGGATTGACTTGGGGTCACATTGCAAAAGGCGATACTAGCCAGATTGTTAACGTTGGTCTGGCCGTCCTTTTTGTTTTTGGAAGTCCTGCGCCTGGTCACTCAAAAATGGAACGACAAGAACAAACCAGAGCAATCCGTGACTTGGTGCGCACTGGCACTGAAGTCATGCAATGAATCTATCCAAGCTGCTTATGAGAGAGACAGGGCTCAATTCCACGATACCATGGCCCAGATCAAACTCGATGCTACTGCTGATTCTTACAACTTGTTTGCCGTTCCTGAACCGCTCAAGAAGCGGTTTGAGGCGTACAAAGGGAAAAGATCGGCGGTGGATGCCTTTGATGATGAAGAAAATGAAGCAAAACCAACCAAGTCGACAACAATTGCTCCACTCCGCGTCAAAAAAAAGACAACCACATCGGCCAAATCTTTCTTTGCCAACAAAACCACTACCAAAACCACCAGTACTACTACAACCAGCAAAGCAGGTTCGAAAGGAAAAACAAGTCAACCCTCAAAGGCAAAGCAGTCTTCTTCGTCCTTTTTTAAGCCCAAGAATGGTGGAGCCAGTCAACCAGGAACCACTCTGTCCGCTAAGGGAAAGGTTCACAATAAGAAGGGCAGCGCTGACGAGGAGAAAGAAAACGTTCGAAACAAAGCGTCCAAGGTCGGTAATGCAGACGATTTCGTGGGGGATGCTGATGCGATGACGACGACGAGAATGGAGAGCGACGACATGCTTTCTCGGATGATGACGACGAGGAGGTCGAAGAGAGCAAACCGGCGGCAGCAAATGATGGGGCAACCAAAGAAGATGTAGCCATGGAGGATCCGTGGAAGGGTCCCCAATGGAAACAGAAGAGCCCGAAAAGGCCGCAAGCAGTTCACAAGCAACTGCAGAAACGGAGACGAAGCATCGCAGACGAAGAAAGAAGATGGTGGAGCAAACATTCACGGACGAAAACGGATACATCTACACAGAGACAAAGGCTGTCTGGGAAGACGTGCCTTCTGATGAGGAAGAGCAATTCCCAGTGCCTTCCAAAAAGATTGTTCAGGCAAAGGGAAAGAAGCCCATCAAAAAACCAAGCAAACAAGGGAGTATCACTAGCTTCTTTGGAAAGCCAAAGAAAAAGTAAAAACGGCTGGGTATCCGCAATAATATTTGTTGGCAAACTCCCTGGTACCGGTATGTGGTACTGTACCGGTAGTTGTAAATGGTGTTTCAGCTGCAACCTATTTACAACCGCTATCGCTTTGCCGTGTCTGTAGCAAGAGACAAGAACTTGGCGGACATGGTCTCGTCAATGTTCTTACTGCTCCCCTTGACTCTTTTGGATACATAGAAACTCTTATTCAGAGCGTTGGGATCCAGAAGGCTGCCTACAATCACCTGGGCCACTTCCGCTCTTGATACGTCGTTGATGTCATCATTTGACTGTCGTCGTAGAGACGAAGCCATCAGATAATGCAAGGCAAAAGAAATACCGGTACGCACCCTACGGTTTTCAATGTACTTACCGATTTCAGCTCGATCGTGCTGGCCTCGCTGCTTGGTGATTCGTTGAAACCAGAAACCCGGACGATTGCATAACTACAATGCGAGACGTATCAACAACCCATTCTGTGCAAGGCAATCGGCAAGGTTGTGTGAGCATCGTCTGTTTTGGAGTCTCGCGAATAAACCGTGACGGTGTACTCATTGCCTTGTCTTGGGATCTCCTTGAGCAATGACAATGATGCCGACCACGACAGGTCAAACGTCTGAACAATGCGCTGAACTGTCACGAGAGATTCAGCATCATGTACCCAATGCGACACTTGTTCTGCGGCCTCCTTTGACATGGTAATTGATGGCCACTCTTATCTTACTCTTACTCTTCGTCTATTTGCAGCTCTACGTTGTGTCTTGTCTCCCTCATGCATCAATGGCAAGGTCAGAAATCAGAAAATGAAAAATCAAGGTCATGAAAAAGGCGCCAAACCATGCTTATAGCTGGCAGAGCTGCTTACCGATCAGGTGGAACACCTTTATTGTTTCTCTCACCTTGCACAGCCACAACGACGACAATGACGGATGGCGGAAGGCGACAAGCTACTTTCGTACTGAGTACCTGCATGTATTATTACTGCATGGTGGATCCCGACGATATCGCCGAGACACGACACCTCGATGCCAACCATGCTGGGCCTATATATTTTCACAGCTAGCCAATCTTCATCCTCGAAAAGCAAATAACCAACCATGAGCACGATAGAGATAGAGCCCATCTACACAGAGTCCCAGCTGAAGGCTCTGGCTCTGGTCATCTACATCCCCACAACGTTATCACTGATTGGTTCCTCCAGTATCATCTATTCTGTTCTCTCATCGTTCCAGAAAAGGTCCAGGTCCAAGACCTATGACAGGATCATGCTGGGATTGAGTTGCATGGAGGCAGTATGTGCACTTGGCCTTTTAGTGTTTGGTTCCTGGGCGGTTCCCAAGGAAGCCAGTTCCATGGCGTATGGGGCCCGTGGTACCACTGCAACATGTGCGGTTGCTGGTGTCTTTGCTCACATTCTTTTTGGCACAATGATGTACACTGCCATGTTGGCTCTGTACTTTTGTTTGCGGGTGCGATTCCAACTCACAGAAGATTTCATTGCTCACAGAATAGAGCCCTTCCTCCATCTGTTCCCGGTCATGATGGTAGTGGTATTCTCTGTGATTGGGCTGGCAGGTGGTTACTTTAATCCCCTGGATCGAGTGTCTGGATTGTGTTGGTTCAAAGATTATCCACCTGACTGTACCACAGATCCAGATGTGGATTGCATCCGTGGGGAAAATCACACAGGAATTGCTAGAATTGCAGCCTCTGGGGCGATCTTCCTGGCTTTCTTGATCATTATCATTTGCATGGCCTTGCTTCTTTTCCAAATCATGGCCCTGGAGCACAGACTGAGGAGGTACGCCCACGGCGCCAACAGCACCACACAATGGAAACGCTCTCAGGAGGTTGGGAAGCAAGCCCTTCAATATATTGGATTCTTTTTCCTCTGTGGAGTCTGGCCGGTGGTTGGTCAGATTGTGATACCACCAGCCGAGTTGGAATACAACAACATCAACTTCCCCATCGCCCTGATGACGAAACTCATGACACCCATGCAGGGGTTGTTCAATGCCATTATCTTTTGGAATCGGAGATGGAGCGAAGCAAAACGATTCACTTCTTCGGGCAGGACAGCGGCTAGTTCCGCCGCGAAGACTACTGTTGTCCGCAAGCAGGTAGACGAACAAGATCCAACCCAGGCTCTTGAAGACACCATAGCGACTGGCGATCCAGAACGAACTGGCACAGACGATCCAGAAAGCAGGCATGAGGAGGCTTGGGATCCCAAAAATGATGAAGCCGATTCCTTTCACGATGAAGAGTGAAACAAGCGAGGGTCAACAGAATGTGCAGCAAACGATGCCAATCCACCGCAAAACCACGACAGACTGGATCCTCGTGCATCTAGAATGCAGACTGGCAAACAGTCATCGACACAATTCTGCGAGGGCATAGAGCTGGTTAGGTAGGATGTCTTTGCGTCCTACGGAGCTGCTGTGGGAATCTGTGGTTACAGTTGGCTAGAGCAGGGCAGGCAGCCACTAACGAACTGGTACACTGTGCAATAACGCTATTAGTAGCTAGATTCTTGGAGACGGCTGCATCTACCCATCTGCATACTCGTGAGCAGTGGGGATGCACCGCAGCCTTCTAAAGATAGGGACGGCTCCTCCTCGAGTAGTTTAGCCTTCGTTTCTGCGCTATCGGTGGCTTGGGATTGGGATTCGGACCCTCTTTGTCATTTCGCGACCGATAGTATCATCGTCCTCCTCATGCTTGAGCTGTCAAGATACCGGTGCATCCAACTACATCATATCCGTGTGCACTCCTACGGAAACTAGCTGGCTACCGGAAGAACCGATGTTAGCACCGTCTGTATCCATATGCTCACCAGACTCATGGCGGAATTTGCCTTCATTGAGATTCGTTTCCCGAGCACTTCATCAAGGCAAAATTGTACTCGAAAGTGTTTGCACGGTTGCACTGACTGTTCTTGTTCAGCTACGGTACCGGTAGCAACCCTAACTGGCTAGGCGTCTTCACAGAAGACCATTGGTAGCAGCTGCTATTCGTCTTGCTCACCTTCTCAAACCGCTACCGGTGTCCTTCCGACTTGCATGCTGCCTCCAATCATGCTTGCCTTTGAGTGCTGCTCCAAGACCCAACCTTGCAATAGTGCCATCACCAATCGCATTTACTGTCACTAGCTATGTATACTTTATTCTATCGGTAGCACTAGGTGATTGCCCATTTGACTTGACTTGCTTACTTCCCAGCGTAAAAGAACACAATGCATCGACCCCAAATACACCAGACAAAAATATGAAGCGAGAACCCTGCTTTGCCTTGTTAGAAGTCATCGAAGATAGCCCCCGTCAGATTTGCCGCGCACGGGACAACATCGGCCACTTGGTTCTTGTTCCAGCGTTGCCCGTTAGCGCCATTGCCTTGGTTGCCATTCCTGTTCATCATGTTGGGGTTCATGTTCATTCCGTTGTTCATCGTGTTGTTGGGGTTCATGTTCATTCCGTTGTTCATCATGCTGTTGGGGTTCATGTTCATTCCATTGTTCATCATGTTGTTGGGGTTCATGTTCATTCCGTTGTTCATCATGTTATCGCTGTTCATCATGTTTTGGCCGTTGTTGTTCATCATCATCATGTTGGCACCGTTGTTCATCATCATCATGTTGGCATTGTTGTTTCCCATCATCATGCCACCACCGCTGTTCATTCTCCTGAAGCTGCCTCTTGCATTCTGACCCATGTTTCCATTGTTGCTGTTCATCATCATGTTTCCGCCCATGTTGTTCATCATTGCATTATTGCCACCATTCGAGAAGCTGCCTCTTGTATTCTGGCCGTTTTGGCCCATCATCATGTTTCCGCCACCGTTGTTTTGGCCCATCATTTGGTTCATGGCCATGCCGTTGTTGGTGTTTCCCATCGTCATGTTATTGCCACCGTTCGAGAAGCTGCTCTTGTATTCTGGCCGTTCATATTCATCATCATGTTTCCGCCGTTGTTTTGGCCCATCATTTGGTTCATGGCCATGCCGTTGTTGGTGTTTCCCATCATCATAGCGTTGGCACTGTTCCTGGAGGATCCGTTGCCATTGCCGCTGGCACCCATCATAGAACCATTACCACCACTGCTGCTATTATTGTCACCGCCGCCAAAAAAGCCGAGATCATTCATCTGAGGTTGATGGCCACCGATGCCGGCATTGTTGTGGCTGCCGCTGCTTCCGTTGCCATTGGGATTCATTCCCATTCCCATTAGCTTTTGGCTCTGCTGTTGCTTTTGTTGGCTCTGATGTTGCTGTTGGTCGCCCATTCCCTGAATTTGGCCTTGCGACGTGGATATTTGGATGCTTGCGTTTCCAGTGTCCGTGGTGAGTTGGAAGTTAGCAGACCCAGGGACAACCATGTTGACGGAGAGCTGGAGTTGGTCTTGCTGCTGCTGCGAAGGACTTCCACCAAACTGTCCCTTGCTGTTTCCTGATCCTGAGGACATTCCAAAGTCCGCAGGAAGGGGATCAAACAAGTCATCGTCCTTGCCAAGCGGGATGGGGTTGAAGTCAAAGTTCCCAAAGTCTGGGTCTAGCTTGGGCTGAGCTTTGGGTTTGGTAGGTTCGTGAAAGTCTTGGGACATCCTGTTAAAGTTGTTGTTGTTCTGTGGTTTACCAGATCCGAAGCCCATCATGTTCATTCCACTTTGGGTCTTGTCCGGTCCACAATCAAAGGCGCCCCCCATGGACTTGGCAGATGCGCTCTTCGACCTAACCGGACCAATGGGCACAGGTTCAAAGTCGCCCAATCCCATCATGTCTTGTTGTCCACTGGGACGCTTGATTCTCTGCTGAGACTGCACAGGCTGCACTGGTAGTTGTCCGTGATGAGACGACGAACTCAGCGGGTCTCGCCCCATGGAGGTGACAGCAGAAGCCTTCTTGACGTCCCTCATGGCATCAACAGACTTCTGACGCTTCAGCTCTCCTCTTTCGTTGCTACTCATGAGGAAGAAGGAGGCAATGCGCATCGTCTGAGACTCATCCACTTCTTGCCATTGCCCATCCGTCTTGCTCTGGGCCAAAAAACGGCCTCGAGGGGACAAGTTCCGCCAAAACGCGACCACTTCTTTAACGGCCTGTATAGTATCAATCTTGGGATTGGTCTGAATGCGAGCTCTCTTGTACGCCTTGATGAGATTGCGAAACTTAACGTTGCCAGGGTGTTTGCTACATCCTGGGCCTACAATCACGTCTTTGGGTTGACATCAGAGCAATAATAACAGAGGGGGTCATCAGATAATTACAGTAGAAGGGGTCTACGAATAGGTGCGCACATGGGGATACCCCCGTCTTAACCCAACCTCACAGGCTCCTGTCTGCTTACCATTCTCTCCCGGTGGACGGGACATGCTTCCACTGCCGTTCCTGCTTGTGGACATCACAGGAGTGGGGTCTAACGACGACATCTTCCACTCGACTCTTGCAAACTAGCTAGTCAGTCTAACAAAATAAAGAAGAACGAGCTGATTTTGATTTGAAAAAAGTTGTTGTTGCTGGTTGGGGCAGTATGACATACCGTTACTTCTCCCGATTCTTTGCACTGCGATGATTACGATGCGAAAAGCTGGCAACTTCCGCGCTCTCTTTAGCTTATTACCGTAGCCAGTACAGTAGCCAGTATGAGTAGCAGTTTCGCTACCGACTTACCGTAACACCCGTACCGGTACTGCACCGCTGGTAGCTGGCTACGGTACCTAAATGTGGCAACTGCATCAAAATTTGAGGGTTCACTGGTGAAAACACCGATCATAAGAAGACTTAATGGAAAGCTTCCAGGTATTAAATGGAAAAGTCATGGAGTGTGACTCTTAGGAAAGTTTTGATCAGGTCAAATAACACAGATCACACGATCAGTTGGGGAAAAAGAACAAAAGAACAAGTTAGCGAGCCTTCGATGTCGCAGCGGCGTACCTAAACCAGAGCAGCTGACGATGATTGACATGCGGTCGAACATTGAAGTGTGATCCAGCCATTTCGTCAGTCTGTTAGAAAGAAAACCCCAGGCGGAGCTCTCGTTGCTCATATTATTATTATCTACTGGCCATAGCGGATCGCATCCATACTGGTAGGAGCTGGACATCGAGGTAGCTAGCTTGCCAGCAGAAAGTAAGTTTGTCAAGGATTGGAACGTTGAGGTCTGGTATCATGTAGTCTACAAGAATGTTGGATACCAGTTTCTGCATGGGGCAAGGAAACTGAACGGAAGATTCACGAAAGAAGGTCCACTGCCAGTAACGGTGGATACGGCAGTGTTTGGAGACATACTAGTAGCCATGCCTCGCATTAGAATCAAACCCTTTCAACCTGTTATTTTGGAACAAGCTTACAACTTGCCTCCGGCTGGCCTTTCAATGAACCTTCATGAAGTTATGCTTGATCAGTCCAATAGAAGATCTCTCCGTGTCAATGCGCACTTCATTGGAGCAAGGCCAAAGACGACATTCAATTCACATTCACAAACCATGGCTGCGGCTGGATTCCCTAACTAGGCCTACGGGCACATGCAACAGCCCGGGGTGGCCTTTTCTAAGAACGATGATCAAAGAACAAAGCATGTGCTACTGTTCAGCAATATCTGGAATGAGTCCACACTGATGCTTGTTCAAAGAACATCACTAAGGCCTGAAGAAAATATAGACAGACAGAGTTGTAGTCTTGCACCAGGCAAATCTATCTGTCATGGTACCAATACCTGCAATCACCATGACGGAAGCATCTTTGGGATGATAACATGTTCATCAGATAAAAGTTGGCTTTCCTAGAGTTGTAATTGAATATAATCAGGCAGGTCTGTCCTAAAAGATCGAACGATTGGATAGTAGCAGCCCTGTGCTTTTCACGATCCAGACAAAGAATGCCGCTGAGTGCTGTTGGTTCATATACTGTCAACGGTATCGGTGCAGTACCGGTATGTAATCCCTTCTGCTGCTGCACTTGAGTCTTGTAGTTAAGGACTCAGAAAGGAAACCACATCTTCTACATCACCAAACCGATAAAAAGCTGGTGGGATATCACATTCTTCCTTATTTTCACTCAAGACACATTCATTGCAGAAAGATAGGACTTCTTCAGGACCAAGTTCAAATATATCCTCATAGACTTCACAATTGCCAGTTGCAACACAACGGTCTGCGCAGTATCTTTCTGGATTTTCCCTCGCGAGCTTCTTATCCTTGGCCACTTGACGAATGTCAACCATTTCATCCTCTTGGCCATCAACTTCTTGCGGAATATGATGCAGTATGTGATTGCGATTCTTCTCCATCCATTCCTGCTCATATTCTGAATGAAGAGCAAACGTTAGTAACGTTAGATTCAACATGGCCACGATGCTGTTGGATTGGAGTTTTTTTCTTCATAAGAGTACATACCTTCCTTGTGATGCAATCGGTGCAACTCGTGATCTGAAAGCAAACAAAGGAACAGAAAGAAGGAAGGACAAAATGGGCTCAGGCTTCTTTCATCCATTCATTCGAGTCTGGAGGTTTCTTTCGGCGAGGCGGCGACCTACCAATCATATCTGCGACCCAGTCCTCAAGGAATAGCGTGGTGGTAGTTTTCCTGGCATCCCTTGGTCGGACAACAAATGCTCCAGCCGAAGAAACGACAGCGAGAAGGGCCCAGACAAGATGCTTCGGCGCAGACATCATGGTCTTCGAAAAGAAGATCTCAATCAACAAATTTAATGTCAAAAATAAATGAGGCGAAGCAAAAAGTGAGCATTTCGCGAACCGAAGCATTCCCAAGAAGATGCATTTGATAGAAGCCCTAACGCTAACGGATTTATCAAGAACCGCGTCACACGTCACAGGATCCATGATCGAGTGACTCAGTCGTGCACACAACAAACACAAACCTTTGTGAGAACGAGCGAGAACCAAGCACCAACGTTGTCAATTTGCGATGTCCCCATGCACGGCAATAGCAACTGAACTTGCTTGGCTTGGGCTCGGCCAGGTTGCGCTATTAATAGTCTAATGTCTCCTGTTCTGTCTTACCACTCATAAGCCCAACAACAAAGGGCCATCCCCAAGTCAAGCCACTTCAGCGAGTTTCTGGAGGTACCGGTACCGGTAGACACCAAGTTCAGCAATGGAAACGCCCCACAGCACTCAACCATCCTCGGGATCGACCTACATCAATAAGCTTCTTGAGGAAGCCAAGGACCAGTTCAAGACATCCTGGCCAACCCTTTGTGCACTTGTCCTGTATCGCTTCCCATGGTTGATTTCTTTGGCTTTTGTGGGGGCCATTGGTTCAGATGAGTTGGCTGCAGCTGCCCTTGCCACCACCCTCTGCAATGTAACCGGCATGAGTTTATCAGTTGGGCTGAGCAGTGCTTTGACCAGTGAGTCCAGTATCTGATGTTACGGTTCAGGAATTCGAATCGCTTTGCCTTCTAATCTATTTCATTTTGTCATTTCGTTTGCACTGTTTGGCATTTGGCAGCTTTAACGGGACAAGCAAGGGGAGACTTGTTAGAACGCCATAAACGACAGAACCAGCCCACAGATCCATCGCAAACGCCGTTGTTGAAAGCCAGCAATTCACCCAATGCATCAACCCAACATCGGTATGAATCCTGTCGAGTCCCAAGTGGAGATGACGAAGATTTTACTTCTGCATCACCCAGGAATGACTTCCTTCTGCCAATGGTGTTTCTATACCGTGGGCTCTTTGTGCAACTGCTATTGGTCGTTCCTGTGGGCATGTGGTGGTTATCGGGAATTCATGATGTTTTGGAATCATTGGGCCAGAATGAGACCATCGCTACCATGACGGCATCATACCTGAAAGTCCTCGCACCCGGACTTTGGGCGTACTCGATAAATTGGACAATCACCTCGTGGTTGCAGGCTATCGAAATGGCGGACGTGCCGGCATATGCTGCGGGGGCGGGGCTTGCCCTCCATATTCCTTTCAACTACTTTTTCATCTATGTTTTGAGGTGGGGCTACCTAGGCGTTGCCGTTGCAACGACTACATCTCAGCTCATACAACCTCTGGGAACTCTTATATACCTCTTTGGATTTTCCGTCGGAAGGTCTCGAGTGCTACAACACACAGTTGCAAGTGCAGTTGGAAGGAATTGCATATCATCAGGCTTCCGGGTGGATATCAAAATGGGAATCACATCATATGCTGGAATGAAGACATATCTTGGCTTGGCCATTCCTGGTATCATTACCATATCGGAATGGTGGGCAAGTGAAATTGCTATTTTCTTGGCTGGACGGTTGCACCCAAATCCGGCGGTTGCCTTGGGCGGAATGACACTATATCAATCAATCAACAGTTTCTGTTTCATGTTCCCATTGGCGTCCAGCATTGCAGGATCGGCAAGAGTAGGAAAGTTTCTTGGAGCCAACGAGCCAGAACGTGCCGGTATTGCGGCAAAGGTGAGCGTGTACAGCGCCATGTTGGTCAGCGGAATCATTGGATGTATCCTATACATTGTCCCGCATGAGTTTTTTCCCTCTTTGTTTACGCACGATGGGCCTGTAGTGGCGGAAACAAGTCGGACGATTCCATTGCTCGCCACGTATGTGTTTGCTGATGGCCTTCAAGTAGCTCTCAATGGTATTATCAAAGGATGGTAAGTCTCGCTCTCGTATGTCCTCCGTGCCTTGTCTGGTGTTGAGCGACTGACCCAACAGGCTTTCTTCCTCTGACAGCGGCCGCCAATGCGTGACCATGCCTATTGTAATTACTGCGTATTGGGTGTTTGGGGTGCCAGTATCGTACTACTTGGCGTTCCGTGTGTGCGGGGGTGAGATGAGTGATGACATGTTTTGTGGAGTGGTGGGTTTGGTGTCTGGATTAACGCTTGGAACTTGGCTCCACATGGGAATGCTTGCAATGGTCGTGATTGCCACCACGAATTGGCAGGCTGAAGCCTTCAAGGCAAAGCAAAGACTCGTGCATGCTGATGAATCTAGAATGGATCTAACCTAGCTACCACTTTTAACTGCAGTAGTGCGAGGGAGTGTTGTGGCCTGTGGCTGCATGTTTGTACTACCAAAGGGCTGGCCACTGCTCTAAGGTACATGTAGCTATCAAGAAACGAAGCAGTAAGTGAGAGTGTTAAATACATATTGACACCCAGCTACAGAAATCTGGCTCAGCGCGAAGTGCGAAGCCATTGGAAGTGTGTTCACAGCTCCCAGCTTTTTTGTTCTAGGTAGAAGACCTTTTTTGGGGGGATCTTCTGAGCTCAACCTCTACTCGGATGCTTCTGGTATCAACTTAACTAGTGTGAGCGAGTGCTGCTGGGTAGCTACCATACAGCTGTAGCTACGTTCAACTGCAGCAGAGAGAACCATCTCACAATCCCAACAGTTCCTCCCAGAAAGCTCAGGAGTCAGGAGCGGACGCAACCGCGAATGGCCAGATGATGGTTGGATTTTCGAACACATCCGGCTCGTCCAATTACATGTAGTGCACTGTCTCCGCGATCACCACTACCTAGCTATCTAGGTAGAAGACTTTTGAATGCCTTCGCACCAACCAGGTGTGTGGATTGTGTCTGGCATGCATACATGCAACTACGCGCAGATTGCTTGCCCACCCCAGTTCTTCCATCCTCGTCTTGGTCTGCCCCCTCCTTTCGCATCAAACTGAAAGGCAGAGTCGGAATGCTTGTCTGGGATGGTGGCTGTGAGCAGCGCACACACCGAAAGATAAAATTGCACCTCTACCAACGTGCGCCAACGCCAGGATAGCCATTGACCATACAGTAGTTCGTTACCTAGAGCAGCGCTGATACCTGGATCGGTGCCATAGTACCGTTCTGCCCTATTAGTACCTAGTACCGTTACTGCAAGTACCATCTAGCAAGGCACACCGCCACTTGCAGGCCACACCGTAGCAGCCATGTTTGTCAGTAGAGCGATCCCACCACCTACAACTGACCATCTTGCAATCAATGGTTGGCCTGAGGCTTGAGGATCCAACGGGTGCACTTCGTAAATGGCCATTTTGTGGGTTGGTGTGTGTGTCTCTGTCTGTCCCTGCAGCAGTCCCTTGCTTCTACGGTACGCCACGCCACCGGTTTCCCAACCCACTTGCAAAGGGTTTCTCTGCCGAAGAGCTTTTTGCTTTTTGTGCCTGGTGGTCCAAGCAAGGACGAATGAAAGGGAGCATAGAGCATAGAGACTATTAAAAAGGTGGCTGTGGTATTCATATCATATGGTACCACAACATATTACCCTTTATCTACAAACATCGTCACTCACCGGTTTCCTCTGAACATTTTCATTGGAGAGGTGGGGACAGCACACCCACTGGTTCTACTAAGTACCATAGTGTACCATCGCAGTTTTGCAGCCACGCAATGCCAGAATATCCTTTGGGCCCGTTCCTAGAGCGTTCTGGAATTGATTCATGAGTAGCACAATAGGATTACAGTACAAAAACTATTGACCTCAAAAGGATTGGAATGGTACGGGACTCGAAACAATGATCTTTGGAAGCCTGTCAATACTCGGCACTTAGAGGTCCTGAGTGGTAGCTAGTCCTTTGGGACGGTAGAAGGCGACAACGCAGGAATTCTACTGTAAGAAGCCTGAGTCGTCGCAGGAAGCCCAGAGCTGGGAAAATAGTGAGAATCCTTTCGACCAGATCCAAGTATCTTTTGCTGGAATCCAAAGTAGTACATACGTAAAGATCTCACATACATTTGAGCTTGAGAAAAAGGTCCTCAACCCAGCAAATCTCTCAACAAAATAGCTCCTCCCACCGATATTTTTTGAAAAATACTGCACAATGGAATACAAAACCATCAACAACGAAATCGACATGGTACCCCAAAGTTCTGCGCTTGCTTGTGTCTGGGAATCTGACTTGGAGGAAGATGACGAACAATTGACTAGAAACAAAATCCACCCAGTGATAGTGGATGATGACCTCGACGATGACCTCCTTATGATTGCCGATGATGTCGAAGATGATGCGTCTTTGGGCTTGATGGACCATGATATGTGCGACAAACAAGAAGAACTGGATGTTGTTATATTTCGACCTGACCCTCCTGCTACCCCTCCTCCTGAATATGGAGATGAGAATCCAAGCGTGCACGAAGTAACTCCTGATATGAAGAAGGATATCATCAAGATGGACATCGAAGATATTCATCTTCCTGACCTCCAAGAACTTAGGGAACAGTATTCTTATTCGTGTAAACGAATGGGTGAATCCATCTGGCATGCCGAAATGACACGCCGTTGGAGAGCTCATCGTGCAACACTCGGCCAAGGGGAGGGAAAACAAAACTCTCCCCAAACATTCGCCAAGCCAAGCGCCTTGGAGTTTCTCGAAGGTACAAGGTCTACATTGACCCCCGATCTGGAGCTTTCTCGCCGAAAAATGTGGGCATTGATCCATGCCCCAGAGGTCCACCAAGCCTGATCTCCTTTTCCTGGCTTCCGCTCCTTGCCCTTTTAACTTGAGAAATTGTATCGTCTCAAAATGACTCGAGGCGGAGTCCTGTAGACGAATCCATTTGATTCGTCTGCTGTGTTTAATCCAATTACTGCAGAGCTTCATCATGCTTCTTCCCATTCAGATCATTCTTAACTCTTAGGATAACAAATTAACTGTGTTACTACAACTTCACGTGCTACCACCCGTTATCCCAACTTCTTCACTGTGTTTCTTTTAATTATCCATCCGCTATTTGTCGGGTTCTTTATCAACTCCATCATCTCTTCCAATTTCCATCTCCACAGGCCACTTACTGACTCCCCCCCCCCTTCGCCATCTTCAGCGCAATGGACAGGTATCTTGACTGTTGGTTTCTGTGGATTGTTGCTTTTTTAATAGCCAATAATCAACAGGAAGACTCCAAACAATCGCTCCTTTCCAAACAGTCAATATGCAAGCGTTTGTTGGTCATTAACCTTCCTGAAGAGCCTTGTTGCATGAGCCACCATCAGTCCTTGTCGCATCCATGGGCAACTTGTTCAATGGTTCGAAGTGGAGTTCAATGAAAGGAACACATGAAGAAACAAATCCGCGCGGGTTTTGTCTTCTTCGCGACTATTTGTTGTTGAAGGAGCCACCATCCAGTCATTTCACAATGTCATGTATCCCTGGGCCACTTGCTCGGTGACTGTCACTCTGAATGTATGTGAAGGGTACACATCAACCTTTCTTTCAACACTCCACACTGATTGAAATGTCCCACCAACTTTTGTTGGTTCATTGCTTTTTTTCGATTGTTGACAGCATGGGCCCTAGCAAGCCACCATCCAGTCAAATTCTCATGCATCCCTGAGCCACTTGATCAATGGTTATCAGCGTATTTTTAACAAGGGAGCACATACACAAACTGAACCTTCACTTCCAATAATCCATGATGGTCAACCAACTTTGCTCCATCGCATGCTGTTGACTGAGCCACCTGTAACCACCATCCAGTCATGTCACATGCAACCCGGGGTCAATTAATTGTTCAATGGCTGCAACAGTGGAATTTTTAAGGAACACATGAAGAACCTGAATCTTCTTTTCCAGACACTCCATGGCTGTCCACCAATTTTGGTTGGTCCAATGCTTGCTTCGTGCCTGGCTTGTTGAATGAGCCACCACCCAGTCTTTTAACATGCATCCCTGGGCAACATGATCCATCCTTTTCATCAGTCTTTCAAGAAAAGACATGAAACTGAACCTTTCATTCCAAACAATCCATGAGAGTCCACCAACTTTGGTTGGTTCGATGCTTGCCTTGTGCCTTGCTGAATGAGCCACCAACCAATCATATTTCACGTGCATTCTGGGCCACTTGATCCATCAGTTTCAGCTCAGTTTTGCAAGGAACACACGAAACTGAACCTTTCATTCCAAACAATCCATGATAGGTTGGCTCGATTTTTGCTTTGTGGCTTGTTGTTGAATGAGCCACCATCCGATCATTTCACATGCATCCCTGGGCCACTTGATCCATAAGCTTCAGGAGGTTGACAAAAGGAACACATTGTTTTGGCCTCTAGAACCAATCAACCCCTGTCCAAAACGCTACCGAACTGCCTTTGCTAAATACTAACTTAGCAGAAGAAGCAATGCTTCTTGCTCATCTATGCATGCATGCTCTGGCCAGCGATTCTGATTGCACGGAGGACAGATGTTGCAGCATTGAAGAAATTTTCCACATTCTTCCGTGAAAGACTGGTCAAATTTTCAACTCATCTGGCTGCCTTTGATATATTCCAAGGGTCGTCGTAGAAACTCTCGATTAATAAATAAGGAGGCGCCAATTTCAGGGCGGGGATCCATTGCGCTGATAAAGGTAAATCCGTCGAGAATGAACACAAGTTCGAAGGGTGGAGGTTCCATCAGTTCATCCCTTACGTGCATTGCTGTTTTACCAATTCTTGGTTGCTTTGGGTATTTAAGCATTTAAAGGTATCATGGTTTAGCCAATGCTTCTGTTGCATCTATATACACCACGTTTCGTTGTTGTCGGTCGCTTGTGCAAAAGAAATGGATCTCACAGCGCAAATCCCTTGTTACTAGGGAACACGCCTCAACAGCCACATCGAGAGCTTCGATTCGATTCCAGCGCAAGGTCTATTGGGCTACCTTGGATTTGTGAGTATTGGCGAGACTTGGACACTTGGATGTCATTGACAACTTGACCCTGATGTGCATGTGTGAGTAGCAAAAGAAGATCGTGTTACGACGACTGCCATCAGACGCCTGGACCACGACTTCTCGTAGCTCGGGAGTTGTCGTTTCACGATTGAACCATTCATCGTCGCCTGGAGCATCTCGCTGGATGAGATCTTCGTCACGCTAACTCGTTGGGATTGGCCCATGCATGGCCTTTGGGACAAATCAAAGCTTTGATGCGCAGTCTCCTTCCTTCACTTCTTCCACTGTCGTTCATTTTGTGGCTACCTTACGCAAGAGAACGAGCCCAACGAGTTTTCTCGTCCAAAAAGCTTTCTCTCGCGCGCCATGCATGACCTCCACCTGAAACATGTCTGGAGTTTTCATTTCGGTACAGGACTCAGACTAAGGACTCGACTCGATCAAGCCGATTGGAATCATTCGATTGAATCATTCGATTCGATTCGATTCCACTGAAGGATTGATCGTTAATTAACCGGTACCATATGATACCGGTAGTACGCAACCATTGCATTGTACCGCTACCTACTGGTACTGTACGTCAAAGGCTATGCAACCTCCTGGTGTGGCGGCAAAGGTAAAGAGTTTACTTGATGGTTCTAGCTAGCTAGGTAGGAACAAAAGTGGCGTTCCCTGCAAGCTGCCACAAGTCCAGCCTTAGATGTTCAAGCGGTAGCATAGTGGCTGCATGGGCAGCATAAGATTTGTAGACAAAGCTCCCACATGATATGAAACCCGAGCGGACAGTACCAACCTAACTGGTTGCGCCGCACTGAGGGTTCAGTGAGAAACGTCTAGACGGAAATTCCGTTCACTTGTTCGATTTTGACCGCACCATGTACCCTCTTGCCAGTGCTTGAATCTGTATTGCAAAGAATCTCTTTTTCGTTTGCTCCATGATCAGTGTGCTCTTGAATGCAAAACGAGCACTGTATCCTCTGCCAAGAGCTTGAATCTTAATGGCGCTTTTTGCCCTTGCGTCGTGGTCGACCGGTCTGCTGGACGGTTTGCTCCTTTTTGTGGCACGGCCACGACGGTCGGGAACTCGTCTTGCCATTGATAGACCCGAAATGAGACTGCCCATGTCCGACTCGGATTCTCCGAAACGACTGTCCGATGCGGCCATGGACCTGAGCCTTTCGCGACGAGATACGGCAACTTTTTCCGGCTCCAAGGACGCTTCGCTCCCGTCCATGTCGCTTCCGTGTCGTAACGGCTTCTTGGCGCGCATCATAACTCTCCTGGGGGGAGAGAACTCTACATTGTTGTTGCTGTTGTCGCCTTCGCTTCGATCCCGTCGACCGCGGCCATCATTGCGGGGACGTACCATGACACGTTTAGGCGGTGATCTGTCACTTTTGCCTGAGTCACTGTTGTGTCTCCTTGGTTGTTTTATTGTCAGATGTTTCACGGGCACCTCGTGGCTTTCTTCTTCGGTGTCACTTGTTTGTCTTCTCGGCTTCCGTATCGCCCGTATGGTAAGTTGTCTCGGTGGCGCATTGTCGGGTTCTTCGATCCCACTTCGATGCCGAACAGGTTTCTTCATCGCTCGTTCTCTCGTCCTTGCATTTTGGGTAGCCTTTCCACCGTGAAGACCATCAGGATTCTTCTTCGGTTTCTTAGTCCTCCGTTTGTTAACTTTCTCATCCGCGAGCAGCGGTTCTCTTCTTGGTGCCACGTGAACACGTGATACCTGTGGCCCCGTTAATCGTTGCAGAAACCCTCGTGCACGGGCCTGAATAAATATTGCAGCGAATTTTTTCTTTGAGTTCTCCATAGCCAACATGGTTTTGTACAGGAATCGTTGGATGTACCCTCTCCCGATTGCTTGGATAATGACTGCTGCGTTTTTCTCCTTTTGCTCTCGTTTCTTTCTTCGATCTGGTAGTTTTCTCGCCACAGAAAGGTTTGACATGTGACTCATGACACTCCCAGCTTCTGATGCGTCGTCATCCATTGAAAGAGAGGATCTCCGCTCGCTTGTTTTCTCCCTTTCTTCTAGTTTTTTCCTTCGGTCTGGTATTCTTCTTGCCACGGAGAGGTTGGACATGTAACTTCTCACACTCCCCGCTTCTGATGCGTCATCATCAAACCGGTCAGCCCTTGATAAAGATGACAATCGCTCTCCTCTCTCCCTTGCTTCCAATTTTTTTCTTCGATCCGGAATTTTTCGTGCCACTGACAGGTTGGACATGTTGGACATGTAACTCCTCACACTGCCAGCTTCAGAAGCATCATCCTCGAATTTGTCTTCTAGCTTTTTCCTTCTGTCGGGTATTTTTTGAGCCACAGACAAGTTGGACATGTAACTCCTTACACTGCCCGCTTCAGAAACATCATCTTCGAATCTGTCGCCTGTTTTGTTTTCTGGCTTTTTCCTTCTGTCGGGTATTTTTCGAGCCACGGACAAATTGGACATGTAACTCCTGATGCTTCCAGTTTCCGAGGCATCATCTCTGTCGTTGGCCATTGAGGCTCTTTGTGGTTGTGGCATTAATCTGCCAAGCCGCAGGGATACCTCGCTGCGTTCTGAATCGCTTTCCAATTGCACGGTTACAGTTGGGATGGTGGTTGGTGGTTTACGTGCATTCAACTCTCTTCGACCTCTCCTTTGTCTGGTATTCTGTTTGGGAGAGCTTAGGCCGGTGTCTTCCATGGTTGGTTTTCTGGTCGTCTGTCTGGGTCTTTTCTTGCCGGTCTTTTTGTTATACCGTTGGCGCTCCAAGAAACCTCTGATGCTAGCTTGTATTTGAATGGCAAAGAAGCGTCTCTTTGTGTTTTCCATCGTAAGCCGACTCTGATAGGCAAAGCGGGTAATGTACGCTCTTGCAAATGCCTGGATTTTGATGATCTTGTCGACTTGTTTTCGGTAGTTTTCGTTCTTCTTGCTGAGTTTGGCACCATCAGCGCGATCACGGCGATCTCTTCTACTGCCAGCGCCTCTGGATGTTGTAATGTTCTTCGGGAGTCCATTTTCTCGGGCAGTAGCACCCCTGCCGCCAGGGATACTGCGAGACAGCTTGCCATTGCGGTTGCTGTTTCCGCTGCCGTCGTTAATGTCGCCTGGAGCTCTGCGTCTCCGATCTGGTATTTTCTTTGCTTTTGATAAGCCAGAAAGAAGACTGCCCACATCTGATTCCGATTCAGAGGCGAGACTTCTCTTGCTGCTCTCGTGCAACCGAGACGAGAGTAGGCGACGGTCCATGGTAGCTTGTACCGGTGGCACTCAGAGGACACGGACTGGATAGAACGAAGTTCAGGAAGATCAGGACTGGTTTGAGATAATGAGCCCTATCGCGTTCGCCGCCGACGCCATGAATTCATGCTGCGAGTGTCTTATTTATCCGTTTGAAGAATGTGCTCTGAATGTGAATTGTTGGCTCTTGGAAGACGAAACAGACGAGGGGTATGCGATCGAGATGGGTAACCAATAGATTGCTTGCTGCTTTGTGGCGTGAAGATCTTTTCCGAGGGGAGAAGAAAGAAAGGACGAGATAATCAAATGCTGGCTATCTAGTAGAGCTATTGGAGGGTTGGGAGGACAAGCTTGGGCGCTTTGGACGTCTTCAGCTATTTCGTGTCGTCTCTTCTTTGCACGCTGCATGATGTTCGGCATGGCATGTTCGGTGCTGCCGTAACGCGACTAAAAGAAAAAGCTCAACTAAAAAGTTGCTCAGTCCAACCGGTAATAAGGTTAACGTTTATTACAGGTGGGATCTTGTGTACCCGTACATTGTGACGATCTGTCTTATCTCCTCGGCTCCTTGGCGCCTTGGCTCCTTGAGAGGAACACGCCAGACTCCTGAGAGCATCCACCCAAACATCCATACATTCAACCGGCCAAAGAGATAGCGCTGGCCGGTAGTTTGTGGGATGATGTGTTTGTTGAGAGCTTCACAAAGTGATTTGAGATCCTGGCCTCATGTTGGAAACCGGAACGGCTGTAGCAATCTTTACACTCTGATATACATCTGTCTCTGGGTCCTATAATTTCCTTTGCCCATCAAATCTATCCCCATTCTTTCCATGGTTTCCTTCCTCTAAGTTTGCAGGTTGCCGGTTCGCTTAGAGTCGAGGTTGCCGTATCTCTGTATGCAACCGCATGTTGGTCCATAGCTAGCTGGTTCTTGGCTGCAACCGCCATCCACCAGGCTTTGTTTGTTTGGATATGCAGCGAAGTTAGCTACTAGTAGTAGACAATTGAAGCGGTACAATACATCATGCCTAACAGCAGGTGTCAGTGCTACAAGTACTCTTTCTAGCCAGCATACATACATGTACATGTAGTTGCTATGGCCATCACAGAGACGCATACTAGTACGTGGTAATAGAAATTCGTTGATGGCAAGCGTGGTCCTGGCAAACTCAGGACCAGACCGAACGTCGGTGTAAAACCTCTCAGTCTTGTGCCAAAAAAATTTCATGGGAGCGCATCCTCGAGACGGAGCGACCCCAACAGCAAAGTCATCATCGTCAGCATCATTGCCTCAAAACAAAAAAGGAACCCACAAAACAACCGATACTTACTCTTCTCTATTCCAGTTTGCGTTGCTCAGCTGCGTTGTTGTTGTAGACAATGGGTGAGAAGAGCAAGAAAACCATGCGTCGCAAGAGCAAAACTGGCGGAAGTCAGACGGCGTCGGCGAATGGAGACGATGCATCGGCGGTGTCCAAGTCGTCTAAGAAGTCATTTATGGGCAAGCTAATGAAGGGAAAGTCGAAGCGGAAGAACAAGGTGTCTTCGTCTACGAATGAGGATACCACAGCCATGATCAACGAAAGCGCAGAAGCCGACAAACAGGCAGAAGTTCAAAAGGCATTTTTGAAAAATGGACAAGAAGCCAAAAAGCCATACATGCTCAAGATTGCATTGCTTTTGGTGGACGCCAAAACACGTCGATTTGAGCTTCTGCAGCTGGAATTTGATTCTGACAAGGCATTGGTTTCAGACGCCTTGTCGCAAATTCCAATCCATGTAACCGAAAAGGTGTTGAGCAGTCAGACTTACACCGGGGTGTGCGGTGCCAGTGGAGTGGAACGAAAGCGATCGGTCCCTTTGTTTGATTTTTGCAAGGGCAACGATGTGCTTGTGGCCATCCCCTCGGGAACATCGGCAGAAGAATGTGCTCGATTGGCCAAACCAATTCTTAGTGATGAAAAGGTTATTGGAATGGTACGTTTGTGTCTGTGTTTTTCTCCGTCGGTATTATTTACGAGGAGCCGAATCTTTTTTTCCTTCTTTTCTGCTCTAACTTACACCATTTGATTTCTCCAAATAATATTTAGCTTTCCACTAGTGGAATCAATGCGGACCCATGGACGACAGCACCAATTCCAACACCACGAGGTCCTTCCTCGAGGCGATCAAGAGGGGGACCCAAGGTTGAGGAAGCACAGAAAGAGACCAGTGGAACGAGCACCATGGTGTTTTACGCGGTCATTATTTTGCTCAGTGCTGCAGCCTTGGCTTACTGGTACCATACAAAGGCATCGGCAGCAGAAGTTGTCACTGAAGCAGGCGAACCGGCAGAAAAATGGAGCGCACAAGTAGACATGGAACCTGTTTGGTCGAGTTGCTACAGCATGTGCGACGCAACTCGCGGTGTATTCGAAACTTATATAGCTTCACCTCCCAAGAAGGGGTGATTGGGAGGTTTGTTTCCGAGAAGATAGCAGCAAGTGATCGTGCAAGAGGAACGCATCAAACAGCTGCCGATTATTAATTAGGTCGAGTGCGCTCGCTCACACACTACGCCGATACTTGGTTGAATGATGCTTTGGACGAGGACGTTGCATAAAGAAAAAGTGGCAATTGGATCCGTTCTATAAGCGCATTCGAATCAGTCCCTACATTTGATCATTTTAATGTTCTTTTTGTTTGAGTTGTTTACTAGTATGATCTGATTCTTCCTCGGGTCTTCCGTCTTCAATTGCATGTCTCTCTGACCATGCGATTATCAGGCAAAGTTGAATGTCCTCGTCAAGCTGGCTTTTCAGCTGCATTTTTGCGGAGCCAGAAATTCGTACCCTGACCACCCCCAAGGTTGCTCCCAGAACGGATAGTGCCAGCATGGTTCGCTCACTAACTAAATCGTACTATCCGAGTCGAGTCGAGCGGCCGAACTACCAGCCAGCCAGGTAGATTAGCTGGAACACTTCGTCCGTTTAGAGCTACGGGATTGACGGATCAGAGAGACACTCGTGGAAGACAATTCTACATGTAGCTCCCACAACTTCATCGCATTCAGCCTAGTAATGGTACCGGTGGGAATATAACTATACATGCACCAACCACTGTAAGCGATCTGCACCGAGCTTCTAACACTCTGCACCCACCAGCTATAGCCAAGACAAAGTCAACTAGAGACCACCTTGTTCGTACGAGGCTTTCTCCGTATTCGGGCGTCGTATGCAGTATGCCCTGGACAGTGACGGAGCCATCCGTTTACTACCATTAAGCGCCCAGAAATGCCGCTAATTAGAGTTGTCTATTGGGTCTACCCGATGCTCTCTGGTCCCGACAATTGGGATGGTTTCGGCCTCGTAGCTGTTTCCACTTTTAGGAAACGATGCGAAGAAGAACAGGGTCAATCGATTTGAGTGAGACCTTGGAACCCAGCGCTGAACCAAGTGTAGGACTACTGGTGCGGCGTGCCTTTTGGCACACAATACTTCCAAGCCCCAGCGTCCTCCGTTTGCTGTTTTCCATCCATGACTTGCAGTCCCAAAGCGGGCAATGCGTCCCGCAATTCATCACAGGCTTTCAAAATGTTCTTGGCGCAGCTGCTCTTGTAATTCGCACCCTTCTTTTGTTGCTTGACATCTTCCAATGCTGCCTTGCGGACTTGTTCCCGGAATCGAATCAACTCCTCGATAATAGCCTTTTCACCTCCAACGATTTGGCTGCTCCTGTGTTCATCGCGTGCATTGTAAGTCAATCCAGCATTGACCGTCGCAGGGGAGAATCCAACCAGCGAGAGAAGGTCCCGACATGATTGTAGCGCCATTTTCATGGGTTCGACGTTATTGTTTGTTTCAGAGTTGTTCGTTGAATGCCGTCGCCGCATGTAAACACTTGCCTCTTCGGTGATTCTCAGGAGATGGTCGACAAATCGCGTACCATGCATATCATCCAAAAGGGCGTTGTATGCGTCGGCGGAGGCCATGGAAACGGTATTGAATAATTCGTGGTCATGGTCACTCCATCGTTTGCTGCCGAAGGAGTCACTAGAAGTCGACTCTGCGTGAATTTGCTGCTTTTCTATCCACTGTTCCCCGTCGAGAAAGAACTGTAGAATCTTTTGTCGTTGCTGTCTTGCATTTCGTATTCTGGACCGTGAGTATTCTTCCTTGTGCTTATAGGATCCTCCCATGAGACACCACATTCGAAAGTCATCTGCTGGAGAGCCCATTGTCGAGTTAGTACTTTCCTTGTCATTGGCACTACCATCAAACCATAGCTCATCCACTGTTAAAAAGTTCTTGAGTGACTTTGACATTTTGGCCTCCTTTATCATTAAGTGTCCCGTGTGTACCCAATGAGGAATCCATCTGGTTGTCTTGGCTGCTGTGTTGGAACAGGACGTACAAGTGCCTGAAGATGATGATTGTTCATGCTGCTCATGATGATATGCCTCAGCCTGGGCGATTTCATTTGTGTGGTGAGGAAATTTGAGGTCATGTCCTCCTGCATGCACCAAGAATTGATGCGTGTGTTGAAACTGTTTGGCAATGGCTTCAATCATAGCGGAACATTCGATATGCCAGCCGGGTCTTCCATTCCCCCAAGGGGATGGCCAAGCAACATCTTCTCCCTCTTTTTGTAGTTTCCAGAGTGCAAAATCTCTTGGATCCTTTTTGGTAGTGCTGGTTTGTGGTTGTGTTGCTGCTTGCGCAGCCTTTCCTGCTAGCTTCCCATAGGTCTGTCCTTGTGCTTCAAACTCCTGAACATGGAAGTAAACGCCATCTTGGCTGGCATATGCCATTTGTTTGTCGACCAATGTTTGAATGTAGGGCACAATATCCGTTTGTACAAATTCGGAAACTCTGGTGACGACGTGCGGTCGAAGGCAGTTCAATCGATCCATATCCTTCCAAAAGTTGGCTTCTGCTTGTCGTGACAGAGTCAGTGGGGGCGTGCCACTGTCGGTTGCAGCATTTAGTATTTTGTCGTCAATGTCCGTGATGTTCATGACGAATAATGGTGACAAACCAGGAACACGTATTCTGGCTTCATTTTGGATTATCCTCCGCATCATGTCCAACCATACGTAGGTACGAGCATGTCCCAAGTGCATTGCAGCATAGGTTGTGGGACCACATGTGTACCAAGCCAGAGCCTTCGCTTCAGTGGCGGCTGCAGTACTCGTAGAACCATCGGTAGAAGTATTAGCAAAGCTCAGGGGAATTTCCTTTATGGTTTCGGATAAGGAATCATACAGCCTCAACCGGGACCCTGCCGATGCTGACTGACTTTGCAGGTGTCTTACTGCTGACAATCGTGCAATTCTGAGGTCATGAACCAACGCCAACGGGAGAGATCTCATTCTTTCTGTTGACCTGTTGAAGCTCTTGTGCTCATGCTAGCTAGCTAGCGTTGAGACGATCTTTGGAACAATGAGAGCGGACAGATTTGCTCAATAATTAGTTGCAAAATCGTTCTGATTTATGTGAATTTTACTTTTAACCCACAAATAACTGCCATGGTACTACGGTACCAGTACGGTACCATACCAGCTGGCTTATTAGAGCGATCCCAGCTATGATATCTACTGGTCTAATCTTTTGTCTCCCTTGCTCCTCATCAGTGCTGAACTATCTTTTCTATGCACAGTCTATCGTACCTACCGTATGAAGCTTGGTACTGCTATGTATCTGCGGGCAACCATAGATTTCGTTGCAAGTGTTGATCAGGTGGATCAATCAGATTGCTCAGGTGCTATGCTAATTTGAGAATTAAGCAATGTTGTTGTCTTTCCTTTATTAAGTTGCTGCAAAGGCTGCAGTGCGGTGTCGCAAAGCTATTCCCTCTCTCTACTAGCTAGCTGATTGGGATACGATTCATCTGGAAGCAAGTATATGAGGCAGTCGAACCAAAGGCTATTGACCTCGCAGTCCCGACCTCCAAGAGCTACCTATTACCGTATGTCATAGCCAGTACGGTAGCTACCCACAGGTAGGTTTGATGTCGAACGTGTTGACCGTTGGCATTCGGGACGAAGACTCGACTCGGGAATCCGGCCACTCTTGTTTTCTTCTGGTTTGCCGCCACTGCTCCGTTTCCCACAACGAGTGTCTTACCGTAGCAATTGCTAATCGCAGGCACTAATTTCTGGGGAGTTCCATAAGTCTATTTTGCTTTACGACTATGCTTGTGAAAATATATTGTATTATCTTTCAATTTTCAGTGATGCTGTACCACAATGTGATTATTCCAATCAAACGGTATGCTTTTTTGGGCTCTTGGTTTCAGTTGAGGTCACGGTTGTGACTGCGTTTTGTGCCAGCTTGAAGCTTGTAGCCACTGCAGCTGAACCAAAGGGCGCCACAACTCGCGTCAGCTTTTTCCTCCCATTTTCTTCTCTCGCACTTCTTACCAATTCCTGCCTGCATGGAGTAGCAATCGACGAGGTAATACATACAACCGAGAAACAATCCACACTTCCTTAGTTATCTAGATGACGGCTCCCAAAACCCCACCTCGTTCTTCCGCTAAAAACCTGGTCCTTGCTAAATCGCCAGAGCACGTACCTGAGCCGTCTACTCCCCGGAACATGTACCAAGCAAGTCAAAAGAAAAGATTCTCGATCAAAGGCCTGTTGAGCGGAGAGAGTAAGAAGGAGCGACAAGCACGTCAAAAGGCAGAAGAGATGAAGGCCAGTGCTAGTAAGAGTCCCGCCAAAGTTGACACGGAAGCAGATACGGTCTATCAGGTAGATGTAGACGATCGAACTATCTCGGTCATGTCCAACGAAACCAAGACAACCGCTGCCACCAACGATAAAGCTGTAGAAGGGTTCCTGGAGGGAGGCAGCAAGTCCTACATGCTGAAGGTGGTCCTGTTGCTCATGGACCCAGAAACACGCCGTTTTGAACTCTTGCAGCTCGAATTCGACTCGGATAAGGCACTGGTCTCGGATGTCTTGACGCAGATCCCTGTGGCTGTGACAGAGGAAGTCCTCAAAAAGCAAACTTATGTGGGAATCTGTGGAGCTGCTGGAAGTGAGATGAGTTCGGCTATTCTTCTATCGGATTTCTGCAAGGGAAATGATGTCCTTGTTGCCGTGCCGGCTGGTGTTGAAGCTTCCGATTGTGCTCGATTGGCTAAACCCATTCTGAACGACGCAAAGGTAATCAACATGGTGAGTACCAAAAGAGTTAGTTCTACGGTATAGAGCATGCCTCCTGGAGGAGTCCGGGCAGAAGGGCGGTGGTATCCGAATCTCCTGCCAGTGGTAGCTGAGTTATCGGGTGTTGTTTGATGGACCTCATGATTGCTCACTTTTCCCCCTTGCAGCTTAAAGTCAGTGGTATTGATGCAAGCTCTTGGAAACAAATGAAAAAGGTCTCGCCAGCTCCATCATCAAAGCCACGGGAAATGCCCATTGAAACGCCAAAGGAAACAACCAAGAAAGAAGCTGGAGGTAGCAACACGTTCATCCTCATCTTTATGGTGTTGGCGGCAGTCATCCTGCAAGTCTACCACAGCAAAATTACTGCACCTATTGAACCTGGACAAGTCCTCTCTCCTGGTGGCTGGATCAGTAAATGTGGACTTGCTGCGGCCATTCCTCCCCTCTGTGAGAACCAATACTTGCAAATGGGTGACGACGGAGTGCTCTCACTGTTCGATGCCAACGGAGACCTAGAATGGAAAATGGAAGGTGGCGTATGCAAGAATGAAGCGTGCATAAGTGGTCTAGAAATGATACAGGACAGCCACGTCGTTATTGGTGGTAAGACTGTGTCATGGGTAAACGTCAAAAAGAATGCGGATCCAATCAGTCCTTGGCCCTTTGCCGAGCAACCAAAGCTGAAGGTCATCCATGCAAGAAAGTAGGGCAGGTGGCAGGACAGTTCCGTTGGTGGAACGGTGTTGATACAAAGGTTGTAAGCCTGCGTTCCGTGATCTGCAGGGAATGATGAAACGTCTGTAGATGAAGCTATACCAAACCACGATCATATCCAGCAACAGGCGACATTCCCCATGCGGAGCACACTTTCATGCACGGCTAGATTCTACAAGTTGCTGTGTTGTGTCTTATGAATATCCTAAATAATCCCCAGTAGGCTTTGTTTACATTACTCGGCATTGCATTTTCTCGCCAAACAAGAAGTTGCCAGGCAAACAAACCATGAACAAAGCCTTAATGCCGACTGTTTGCCCCTGTTCTTATGGAGAGTCTAGAGTGGGGTAGTTTTCTACCGAACGGAAGCCAGCAGAGGGCCAGGCTAAGGACAAGAGAAGGGGAAATTCAGGACGAGCTAGGTTCCGTGGGATCAGGGGCGACAAACTGGGGACAAACATGAGGGTTGAAGGGCTTGAATTTGCGGGATCCACGGAGCAGTAGCTGATCGTTTCATTTTACCTGGCTCCATTAGTACAGTAGTGCATACCGTACGGCCCGCTGCATGCAGCACAACACGAAAGCCAAAAGATGCAGAAGATACTGTACAAGTCGCGGACAAACAAAGGTAAAAAGTGGTTAGTAAACCATTCCTTTTGGTACCTGCTTACTGCCACATTTGCGTTTTGTGTTTCCAATACCGTTGCGCCGAAATCAGGACTGATCAATGCCCCAAAAGGAAAGTGAGCCCTTCAAGGTGATTTCCCTTTCTAGTAACTTCTTTTGAGCCAATCCTGCGGCGAAATGAGGTGGGAGCTTGTTTGATTCTGATGGCGGTACACCGATGCCGTGCCAAATTGTAATATGCGGGAAGGAGTTCGATGGTTCCGGGATACTAGCTCCATCCAGCGATTTTGCCGCTACACGGACTGATAGAGCT